ATCGAAGGGCTCTTTTCGCCCAACCATGTGAAGGGTGGAAGAGAGCGAAAGGCGGTCAAACAATGACTTGGTAGCGAAGTGTGAAAGCCATTACCAGCAAACTCAGCTGCGCTGGTCACTGCCGTCTTCCTGGATGGGGACCCCGAGACGGGCCACATCAATGGCTAGAGACATTATCAGACATGGCCCAGTCGCGCCCTCAATGGCGCTCGTGCATCAAGCTATTGTCTTCAATGCATAGCTCCTTTTCCAACCCCCCCACTTGACAGCCCACTGACAGTGCTGGATTTATGCACCAATTTACCAGCTCGCGCGTGCAATGCGCAGCTACTAACACCCCCCAAATCATCGGTGAACGAAACTGCGGCAGCTACAACCAGTGTACGAAAATTACGCGGTTCTTACAGATAACATGATGATGATCGCGGTTCTTACAGATAACAATGATGATGATGATAATGATTCTTAAATTTAAATGGGGTTCCTGCACGCATGGTGCTGGTTTTGGAAGAGAAATCGAACGAGTAGTTTTGAGTAGACCTCTTATGTCTTGGAGCTTAAGGGCTATTTTTCTTAATGCCTTCTTAGTACCGTGGACCCGAGTCTGGAGAGCTACTTGATAGCCTGATGCGCTTAGCCAAACCAGGAAGCCAACGAAAATGCGAGTCAGCTATGCTATTGAACACTGACGCCTACAGACGTGTCACGTGCAGCCGAAAATGGACTGTTTATGCAGCTCACGTGGAACGTTCTAGGCGGGCCAAATGGTGGTGCTAAAAATAGAACTCATCTGTCAGAGGCAAGTAAAGAGTAACCAAGCAGATTTATCTCAATGATAACGGTTATTCCATTGGCAGTTTTTAGTCCAGTTACGTTAGGAGCTTGTTCTCCTGCGACAGTTAGGTCCACAGTAAAGAGGCCGTTTCGCGACGGTGAAGGTCTCCAGACGAGCACACTGCCGGGCATTTAGAAACTAAAATCCGCACGATATACGAAGCAATATGCAACGAGACTTCAGAAAGAAATTTGAGATGTGTGAAGTCACAAATGGAATCAGCAATGAACAGAGTTCATTCAACTTTTTAGTCCTTCATCATCTAACTCTCATTCAACTGTATACTACTCTAACTTACTCAGTAGCATAAAATTATTCCGAATAGAATTAGCAAAACGGCCCGGAGACAGACGATGCCTATGGTATAATTTGTCTTCCAGTTGTACTTACAATGGTGTCACTTTGAAGTTTCGGGATGCCTGTTTTAAGGAAACCCCAGTGTTCAACCAGTGCTCGCGTTTTCATACGTATGGTATTGGCATCCTCAACTGGCTCTTTTTCTGCACGACTCATTTTGCTCCTTGACTCTGCGAGCTACCGCACCCAAGGACTGCGCTGGATGGGTAGAAGTGCTTTCTGGTCTTTCTGACCAATCTACACCCTAAAATTTTGAGTGATAATCAACTACTGGCTTTCACAGTGGAATACAAATCGAATACGACAACTACCTATAGAAATAATGAGGGCCACTCAAATCTAGTGTGGTGGACTGAAACCCAGCCCACGTGACCACCCAATGTCAACTTCCCACCAAAAATGTTATTCTTGCATGACTTTAATCATGAATGGGTTGTTTCTACAGTTCTGAAATGTAAACGATGAAATCCCGACAAAACACGCTGTTAAATCGGTCCACGAACTATGGAGCTTTTGTAAGCGAAGCTATACAGCCATAAATTTTGATTGATTTTTGTTTGGTACAAAATGCTGGTAGGAATGTCGAGTCATCAAAAAGTTCACGTGATTGAATAAGGTCACCTGATTGGTCGGAAGACGAACGACAAGTGTAGATTTTAAATTGGTCACCTCTAGAGATGCATAATTGAGCTCGGTTTGAATACCACACACGACCACAACGCATAAGCACGCAGTTCTTCGGTCATGGACGCGGTTTGGACAGAATTTCAAAGCCAAAATTGACCACATATATTTTTGTAACGTACTATTCATAAGGTAGCTGAAAATCCGTCGACATCCCACGACCGGTTTCGCCCTTCCACTTTGGGCTCATCGTGTAGGCGCAGTCCCCGGGTTTCCGTCAACATCATGTTCCACATGAAACCAAATTGCAAAAAAATAAACAGATATACACTCATTTGCAAACTTACCTGGAACCCAGTTGAATCTCTCGTTTATGATGTTCTCTGAGGGTGTTCTCTGAGTGTTCTCTGAGTGTATGTTTGCCAAAATTGATCATCCTGCATCAAACGAATTGGCCAATGTATGACACTGGGTCTTCTACAGGAGAATGAATGGCTTCAAGTTACAATGTTTGTATGTCTCCGTCCGCCATTTAAATGATTAGTACTCACTCAGTCTAAATGGGTCACGTAAATGCATCATTGACATAATTTTGGTTCCAGTATGCGGCCTCCGAAGGGCAACTCTTTAGGAAAATATCTCCACCAGGAGGAAGATACTTGGTACTTGAAATTTTCTCCACCTTTACTCTTCTCTCTCAAGGAAACTTACCTCCTAGAGCCGAGGTGGAAGCCCATTCTGGTTTCAAAAATGATTCGGGGAAGAGGCCAATGACCCACTCTACTAGCCTTATTTCTTGCGCAAAGCTGATCAGACCTATTCGGGGATTCTTTTCCAACAAAAACTGACTTGCTTTGAATGACCGATCAATAAGTCTTTGATGCCCATAAAGCATCATTCAGCAAGACACGGTTGAATTGCAGATTGTAAGTGATGAATCTGAAGGATGTGACTTAGCAACCCACGATAAAACAATATTTCCCATCATTTGATATGTCGCTTCGTGAACGTTTAGATTGTGGAGCAGCTCTTGACGATATATCATACTACTTATAAGGTTGCTAAAAGTTCTTCAACAACCCACCACCGCTTTCACCCGTCTTGGGCCTCAGCAGGTAGGTGCAGTCCCCGAGTTTCCGTCAACCCTATGTTCTAATTGAACTCAAATTGCAGGAATTTAACGAAATTGTCCGAAAGCCAGCCGTCCACAATAACCGAACATCAGATCGTTCGGACGGATGTCACATGCAGGACACTGACCAAACGAAGGCATGTCCTGATTGGCCAGAATGCCAGCCAATCCGGATCGGGCATCTTGGACTCGACGCTTCTCGCCCCCTCACTGAGATTCTACCACGACCTTGTCGAACACCCTGTGATTACCCCATAAATATAGTTGTAACAATTTCCATTGCATAAAGTAAAGGACTGTCTGAAGCTATCGTGCCTTTTGCTATACCATAGTGGGCGGAGCATGTAGCCAAGGGACCGATACAGGATCGCAATACCGTTCAGTGAAACACAACAGGAATAAATTCATTTGTAAGCGATTTTGTTTTCTGGGAGAATAAGCTTGAAAACGGCTGGATCTCTCGTTTGTGATGTTTTTTCATTAATGGGAATGTGTATATTTAACTCTTGGCTGCTTTAGGATGGATGGCACAGGGCTAATATGACAAGTTTTGCACAAGGTACTGTTCTGTACGAATCACAGGAACTCAGGTGCAGTTGAGACCCTAATTGTCTCTTTTTGGTTACTGTTTTGATTAAGTACCAATGTTGGACTTCACTTGATCAGTGCTTTTCAGCTTTTAAGCGTGGGGTTTACTTACAGGACAAAGTCTCAATCAAATATTTCCGAGTTGTTTTCACCCTACTAACAGTCCATAAGTAGCTCAGAGGAAGAGTGAAATTCACTCGACGAGTTGAGCCTCAAGCCGTCACACAAGGAGGCAGTCAGTAGGTCACCACGTGATGTGGATACTATAATTGGAGGATCGGTGGCACCGCATCTTGTAGACTCACTACGCGCAGAATGATGGAATTCATCACACCTCATTTTACCGATATGATTTACCCGTAGTTCGTGGCGTTTTGAGAATATAACCATCGAAACACAGCGGTTCTCCTGTCAACAGTCGATTACACATTGAGCTGACATTTCTAGAAATAAATCTGTTGGCCTCACGGCATTTCCGCGTGTGGCGAGCTACTATTTAAGGTAACTTGTTCTGACTCCCGCTGGAATTTGGAATTCATCCGTCTCGGCTGTGAATTTGACAGCTGGCCAGTCACGTGAAAAGGGTCCTATCGATCAGTGTCTTAGCAGAAAGTGCAGTGGTCTTCGGGGTGAAGTTAAAGCGCACCTGTAGTCTCCAACATACTCTGGCAACAAGCATCCTTGTTTCACCTTATATTAACCATTGGAAACAATTTCTCACAAATTTATCATATTAAGGAATAGAAAAGAATCAAAATCGTGATGGACTTCACAGGATGAGCAGTCCAAATGTGTCATCTCGTATGTGAGTCATTGATGACCTCAATGTGGCGTCCGTGGCGTCAGGCAACTTGTCTGAGGAATGTGAAAAACAGGGGAGATGCACCGGAGGTTAGTCGACCTTCAAAGGGGTCGAATCGGAGTTAAGGAAATCGGGCTGCTCTCTGTGGGTTTCATGCGTGGTGCACAATGATGACGCATATGTCTGTCTAAATTTGTACGTTGGGCAAAAGCGCGAGAACAGACAACACAGACGAACGGTCTTTCGCGCTGATGTATGTTGCGCACGTGACGTTGCATATTAGAGGAAATGCTGAATCCACGTTTGCAATACTCGCACTGGTACGGCTGTTCCCCCGTGTGTGTGCGTAGGTGGCGATTCAAATTGGCCGAACGAGGGAAGGATTTCACGCAATAGGGACACTGATAGCGGCAATGATTTGATTGGCTTGCATACCGTGTGCGCTCACGTGACTTATTGATCAATTGTCGATAGCCGCTGTGTCGCGGATCTGTTGGCTCCGGTAAACTTGGCGACGAAAACTCCATTGAGTGGGACTGATTCGGGGGCGAAATTTTTTCATTTATCCTGTCAATATCATTCGGAATGTTCAACTGAGAGAAATGGCCACTTTCTTTTGTAATGACACTGAGTAGGCTGTGTGAGTTTGATGGTAATTTGACATCCAGTGTCTCCTGATTGTCCAAGTTGGTCGAACTATTCGGCGAACAGGAAGGCACAAAATTGGGCAGGCACTTTGCCTGTGGTTGTCCTTGGCTGAAAACTGAGAAGTAACAAATTTTAACTAGCTTAAAAATCTGTTGGGTAGTTATACGTGAGTAGTGTAACCGGAGTCAATATAAACGGACACGCTGAAGTTGCTACCACGATTTTGTTAGTTAAGCATTAAGTGTTCATGCCTTCTGAGACAGCGAGAGGCAGTGCAAAGCACTCAACCTTGAGTGGCAAAGATTTCAATACTCACAGTTCAGTCGTACTCCTTTGCAGTGCTCTGCAGAGCTGACATGTCTAGGCAGTTGACCACTTACTCGCGTGATGTTTACGTAAAATCCTGTGGAACGACTAGGCCTCGAACAGCGAAGTTCTTCCGGGACGCTAAACCAACCCTGCTGGTTGGGGACTTTCTGCAGCAATGCGTTCAGCTTTAGCACCTTTTCGGTGCCTAGCGGCCGTGCCACCCGAAGGAAGCACGAGGCTGGAATACTGCCAGGTTGCCCAAGCCTAGACAGGGGAAGTCGAGTGGCGGAAGTCGGGTTCGAACCACGAACCTTCCTGTCAGTAAATTCGCGCTCTAACCACTTGGGCCACCTCGCCATCTCAATTTATCCACACCTATTTCGGGCGATAGAAGTTCAACCTGGAGGTTTGAGAAGCTGGTATATTGAGGTGTTTTTCAGGCGAGTCTGCAGTTTTGGTTCGGAGGTGACACAGAACTCGACTTGGGGGATGCGGCGGAACCAGCAAATTATTTACTCACGAATATGTGAAGCTGAAGAACGCACAGAAGCATTATCGCCATCACAAGGATCATCACTGATGGCAATTCCAGAAGAAAACTTTAGTGCTCAGTTGATGCCTCAGTTTGGTTGAACAAAACTTTATAAGGGGAAAAAGAGGAAAATAGAACAGGAAATAAGACCCAGAAAACGTTCGGGACGTTTACACCTCCAACATTCAGTCAGATAATGTAGACAGACAGTGACAACATGAAGGTCACTGGTATAGGTTAGCCGCCATATCCTTAAGTGTCTCCAACCAGGGATTGAGAGGCTGACGTGGGCCTCATCCTGGTGGGAGAACAGTACCGGAACACCCAAACTTATTGTAATACTTTTTATTTTTTTGATGTCGAATTTGCTTAATCTGAATTAGACACTTAAAAGAAGTGCTTATCTCCACAGTCGGTGATTCGGACATGATCCACACTATTTAAAATTCAATACTGAATGCCGTCTGTATTGACAAAACCCTCCTATCGATTACCTCACTACAAATTCAGTTATTATTCCAGCCTATTCCAGCTACCATCTTGGGGAATCAGCGGTCAAGTACCTAAAAATACCTTGTTTCTTCCGTCCGAACTGGCCAAGTCTCGCAGCCGGGCTATTAGAAAGCTAGTTTTTGGTTGGGCAACGGGCACTTCTAATAAAAAGTTTGTCCAGCACTAGAAGCTGCGTTGGTTGGGACATGTGTCGCGTATGCCGAACCATCGTTTGCCGAAGGGAGTGCTATTTTCCATGCCCAACTCAGAGTGGCCAACTGCTTACCTAGCAGAGGGGTATGAAGGAGATTACGAAACGCTTGGGTGCTGTCGATGCCACTCGTCTCCCAGGATAGGGACCGCGTAATCCTCACTGTGCCTGGTTGGAGACAGTGCAAGACATCTCTGTCAACTGATGTCAGTGGCGTTCTTGTTGTCAGTTTCTATCCAGATCGCCTGAGTGAATGTCTGGAGGTATGGGCACCTCGGAATGATTGTGTTAAGCTAGCATTAGGTCCCTCCGCCGTCCACCTTTACTATTTTCTTTTCACGGCACCTCGGAATGATTGTGGTGAGCTAGCGTTAAGTCCCTACCCCGTCCACCTTTACTCTTTTCTTTTCACATAAACCATGGTTATACGGCAGTAAAGCATCGGTGTTGAACACTGATGTCATGCTGTCGATGATGATGATGATTCGGATGGTGATGATGTGGAACAATTCATTTTGCACTGTAGTCTGATACACGTGTCCTTCGAGACCCAAAGATGCATCGTTTTGATGCCACAATTAATACAAATTAACAAACGCAACTCCGGTCGTCATAGGTGCATATGACTTTGCAGTTCTGGCACGTTCGTCTATCTACCATGCAGGTTAAAAGAAACTGCGCCACTTTCGTTTCTGTTCTGATCATCGTCGTCTCGACTTCCTATCATCAGCTACGGAATGCTTGTGGATGGCGCCCAAGGACTTCGCAACAACAACTTAAGAGGAGAGTGTAAGATTACCCGGAAAATTAGAGAAACCGATAAGTTTGTAGAATAGACGTCAGTCAGTGGATGGACATGGTGACCCAGTCTCGACTAGTAACGGGTTTTCGCGCGCCCTCCGACCGATTTCACTCGGAAAGGTAGCGAACCAAAGCAAGATTCTCCTAGCATACTTCCTGGAAAGCGAAAAAATCCTGTGGGTAGCGATATACTCGAAAGAAGTTGATCTGAATTCCACAAATGTGCTTGTAGGGATCACGATAACATTTGATCCTAACCGTCTGTTATGGGTCATCTAATTCTATTGGAAAAACTCACCTGTACTGTTTACCCGTTTGACAACTGAGAGAATGGTGTCCATGAGTTGACCTGCCTCCAACACCTTCCCGATGTTAGGAGTCCCGTCAGTTCTCCACAGACTATTCCAGCTGGTTTCTTCGGACGGTCCCTCAGCGCAGTTATAGTGGAACTTCGGTTGACTGAAAAGCTTGGGCTCTGGTTTGATTGAGGTGTGGGTAAGCACAGAAATGTGCTTTCTTGAAGGAATGATTGGACTGGATCCAGGTGAAGAATGCTTCATTTCATTGTTCTTCAGCATTAGATCGTGTGCCCGCTGAAACAGGGCGGACGTTTGGATCATGGGAACTGGCACTTTCCTCGAAAGACAGTCAAGACTCACACACATCTTACTGCTCAGAAGGTCGTCTGAAAAGAATAGACTCCTCGCTGTTAGAGAAGCGAGGGCTGCGCTGAAGATCCACGGCATACGTGAGGCTGCCTGAGAGTTGATAGATTCGGCGGTCTGAGAGAACGGTATCACATGCGCTGATACACTCCCTTGCGGGCATGAGTGTGTTGACTCTTGAACGGAAGGTTGCTGACTGATGCCGTTTATTGTAATGGGCTTGGGGAGGCTGAGATCCAGAGCTTCAATGGACCCGTTCCTACTGAACTCGGGGGAATCCATTCGAATATCGGCCACTCGGAGGTTGTCTATCGATGACCCGACTGAACATTGCTCAGTCATGACCACTGAACGTTTAGATGGTCGGATGTGACGTCGACACTCGGGTTGGAGTCGCGTGTGGCGACACAGATTGCTGTACTGAGTGTACGCTCTGTTGCAATGCTAACCAGAATAACACGAAGTGAGCGAATTATGATCGCTTGTCGATGTATTGTACTCCTTGATATATTATAAGCTACATCAAAACGATGACGTGAAATACCATATTATACTCCACTTAGGTATACATTATTATGCTATATTGCATATAAAACTGTATCACACCATGATATAATATACCGTACTTTACTATGCTATACCATACTATACCACACTATACCGTACTATACCATACCATACCATACTACACTATACCATACTTTACTATACTTCACTATACCATAATATGTTATGCTATACTATGCTATACCACACTTTTCTGCTTAATACCATCTATAGGATATCATGCTATACCACACTGTACCATACAATATCTCGGCATACTGCACTACATTATACTATCATAACTCGTCATACGGCACCGTCTGTACTATTGATAATCTTTCACTAATGCCGTATCGAGAGTGTAGCCGCCCGGTCAACCACATACTTGACTGTTCAGCTCACAGTCGCTCACTGGATCTCGAAGCTTGTCTTTTTTTCACACTCGACTCATAAGATATCTAATGAGCGTAGCAACTACTCATGTGCTGACGCGCCCACGTACACACGAACGGACCTCCATATGGGGAAACCAGACACAGTCAGAGACTCGCGCGCGCGCAGGGAGCAAGGAGTCAGCCAAACACTCCCAGTCCACGGACAACTATGGAATACGTGTAGCAGCCAAACTGCGGAGGAAACACGTTCCCACCGTCCGGACTTTCACCAAGGGACTCCCCCATCCGATATGTTCCTTTTTTTTACTCGCTCTAATTTTCGCATTGTATTTGTTTTTATACGTGTTGCAATTCTCCACTGTCAACCATACTAAAAACGTTTATTAGTGCATACACCTGATTGGTATTATGGTCATCGTCAGCAGTGCACTAATAGGAGTCAAAGATTAGTCTTTATCCAGAGCTGTGGCCATTAGTGATGACCTAGTCGCAGAAGTGCATTAGTACCTTCGAAGCAGGTTCACCCTCGAGGTCGGTTTATTTTATTGCAAGCATTGCCTTCATAAGCTTCTGGCCCTAAAGTTGTAGAAGTTGTCGAACCACGTGACTACGTGGTGTGAAACCCATGGTTAAATGTTTACCAGCACTACATCTTGTCTAGATGCGGTTTACACTGTTGATTGTCACCCGTGAGCTAACGGTTTAGGCATCTATTAGAAGAACCAGCCCCGAAAGTAACGGGACTACATAATAGCCAATGGAATAACCGTTTTCGTTGGGACAGATTTCCCTGGTTGTTCTTCACTCGTCCTTGACAGATGAGTTGTATTCTTATTATCACTTTTTTGACCCACTTGTACGCGATAGTGATCAATAAAGCAGCTAGCTCGCAAGTTCGTTAACTTTTTCGGTTTGGCCAAACGCGTTAAGCGATCAAGAGGCTATCCAGACCGGGGTTCACGGTAATAAGAAGGCATTAAGGAGACTGTGGTCCACAACAGCATCAAACGACTAACCAGAAGGTCTTGGGTTCGAAACTCTTGGAAGTTTTGTGGTGCCGATATCTTCCAACAAGCATGAGCCAGCGATTCTGGACGTTCTGGCATAGATTTTTTTCACTTGAAGGACGACATCACTAATAAAATTGCAGAAAATTACAACACACAATCCTTGCAGTGGATTACTATTAGCTCAGAGAGGGTTTTCGTCTACAACTCGCTTAAATTTGTCTCGGATATGGGCTCCTCTGCTTCTGTCGAACGGTCAAATTTCTTGGTCATCGCAGTTTTACACGGCCATTCAGTCGATTAGTCACACAAATGCTTTGTTTACTGGCCGTTCTTAAAGGCTTTCATCGGAACAATGGCCCTCCACTAGCTTCTTATCTGAATTCCACTGATACGAGAAAAAAGCTCGTTCAAAATTCCTCAACGTTTCGATGCAATTTTTTTTGGAAGAATCAGCTTTCCCTACGTTTATGGCAGCTCATCTATCATGTATCATGCTTTATAGTGGTCTGCTTGGATTCTGGCTTGTCAAATCACAAATTATCCGGTTCGAATTGGCTGACCACAGTTTTCTGCCTTGATGTGTAATTGGCGTTCTGAGTATTTAATCAGACATTGATTGGTGCAGATCAAGAGATTTCTCGTCGAAAAATCACGATTTAATCGTAGTGTCGCTTTAAGTGTCACGTGGTACTCAAGTTGGCGTCCTTAGATACCCCGCGTATTCCACAGTTTCCTTCAAAGAGACTGCAGTTGAAGAGTATCGTAAATGGAAGAATCAGCTGAGATTTAGTTAACTCTCTCGTTAATAAAAACTCAGGTTTCAATTGAGTGCCTTCAATTGAGTGCCTAAGTAAAACAGAAACTTAACGGAAACTTGGGATTGCGCATAACTAATGTGCCCAAACAAGGGCGAGACCGGTAGTGGGTTGTCGAAGAGTGTTCAGCAAGCATATGAGAAGAGACCTTCAGGAAGCACAGGCACGCCTAATTTCCATGCAGTATAGCAGTCTAGGCATCTTTGTACGCTGCAATTTTCTTCGACTTTAAGGTTCCTTTTTATGGCAGTTCCATTGGAGCAAAACAGAGATCGATTGCACAGGATTTGGCTGCATTGAGCTGAGAAAACTGTACGAACACTCGTCGTATCCAAGGCTAAACGGCATGACCAATCAGCAGACAGATTCAAGGTCATTGGGTCTTTGGTGATCACATATCCTTACTCGACGGTCGACAAACTTACTTGATGGAACAAACGAACCAAACTTTGGCACTGCAACGTCAAAATGAGCGAATAAACCATTTATTCCGGCTACAAACGACCGATAAGAAAGTTACCTTTAAAATTTGTACCAAGAAAAACCACCAATTGAGTAGGAGGATGTTACAGAAGACTGGACACTGATTGTCTGGCACTCTTTGCAGGACAGTGGGTCGCGGTTTTAAATCTCTATCAAAGTTGGCGGGATACGCAATGATAATGGCACGAAATATCGATGAGACGACTGCGTAGTACTGCGTGGCTATTCAGTAGGGTGAAACCAGTTTTTGAAACTTCGAAATTTAAAAGCTTGGTTTTAGGTCTGTTCAAATTTGAAAAGAATAACTAAACTGACGGGCCAAACTCTGGCTAGCTAACTCTTGTGGATTCTAGAGTTCGTCTGGATTTTGATTCGGCCCACACGACTTGGTCACAAACTGCAAATCTCTCTCAGGCACCACTGCGAAACATAATCACAGTTTTATACGGCTTTCGATGCAAGACACGTGGTTATAAAAAGCTTATTCTACCCAGTGGTGGCTGTACATCTCTCTCTTTGACATGACACAGGCTAAAAACTGGAAGAGAGAGACCAACTGTACCACTCACAAGGTTGCTGAAACCTCTTCGATAGACCACAACCGGTTTCGCCCTTCTTGGGGCTCAGTAGGTAGGCGCATCCCATGAGTTTCTATCAAACTTATGTTTCACTTGAATCCAAATTGTACTGATGTCGACAAATCTAATCATTGGCATACCAATTTGTTTATGACGAGAGACTCACCTGGAACCCAGCTAAATCTCTTATTTATGTTCTTGAACCTGGTTCGGGAGGCGTACACGGTGAGTGTGAGGCGCAAGAAGTTGTATGGTGTCGATTCACCCTAGAAAGTGCACTCGGATGGATTTTTTTGCGGCACTTTTCTGGACGCCTTTGACTAAACCTCAACAGGTCGCTCCTACGTTGAAGACGCGGAACAGATGAAGTCCAAGAAGCTACCATCTGTCATGAACTCAACGGGTTCACAGTCGTTTTGTCGGTTTAAGGACGAGACCGTGCGAACTGTTCGTTGAAAGATTGTTCCCCTTGCAGAGTGCATAACAGATATCTCCGTTATCCGTGGTCTAGAGTCTAAGAAAGACGCTTCTTATGTCTTGCTGCTGTCACCGCTCCGGCGCCTAGTTCCGTAAAAAATATTCGCCGATAAGGAACACAACAGCTTTATTGCGAACAGGCGAGTCCGACGACTTAAGTGCGAAACTCAACGGCCCTAAGCCATTTTATTGGAGGAACACCGTCTGACCTTGGTCCAACGCTGTCTTGCGCTGTCTGACTTCGATGCAAGGCTGTCACGCATGCATATTGAGGGTCGATCGCTGTCTACCTGGTTAGCATCTAGCGGAATTGAGGATCTCAGTAGATTTCCGGCACCCAGTGGTTACCTTCAAGAATATGCCCTCCGATGGTGACCTTCCGAAGCCAGATTAGTGCCGTGAGGTGCCGATAAGGACTCTTTCCGTCATCCAAGATATGGTGCACATTTTGCAGTTCAGTGGAAAGGTCAAGCTGATCATTTGCTCGAGGCAATACCTCTAACGGATGTCCCGACGAATACCTGGTAGGAGACTGTTCCTTATCAGTAACTGAGTTTGCTAGAGTCGGGATCAGGAAGGAATTTTCGCGACTAATATTCGCAACTTCCACTAAGTTTGACCAACCAGTGGAAAAGAACCATTTTTGAGTGCTCTGAGTAGCCACCGCAAAACAAAGGCATTAGTCTGGGGAGTAGTGCCAACATCGTAAAAATCAGGTAGAGTGTAACCAGTCGCGTCTTAGTTCCAACCCGATCTCACGCAGTGCCCGTGAACCGCGTTAAAGTTGGAAAATGGGCAAATCCACAAGAAAAGCGTATTCAATCAGAGTTGGATAATTGACTCCGAAAGGAAGTGCAAAGGATTCCAGGATTCTCCACTTCTGGATGAGAGCTCTGTTCTGAGTACATCGAGGGAGATGGAAAAAGGTCTTTCCACACACGAAATGAAGGCACTGCACGTTCTGGAGTGTGTAACTCACCTCACAGACGTACGGCTTGAAAGTGGAGTGCACGTGCATATGTTGTTTCAGGCCAGCTTGGACCGGAAACGATTTTTGACAAATCGGACAAGAGTGATAGGCGGTCTGAACACAGTTCCGTTCTCGAATGCGTCGCACGTTACCGGAGAGAGGTGTGTTGCGGTATGCAGGATACAAACAGCATCCACTGTCTTTGCGCTTGCAGCACTGAGAATCGGGCTGGGGGAATGGTGCGGAATGCGGGAACGGGGATGGCACACCTGTGATGTGTTCGGAAACCGTGGATTTCCGTTGGACACCTGTAAATTCTAGAAAGAAAATACTAGTAAAAGCTTTCAGTCCTAAAAATTTGCTAAATGTATTAGGAAAGTCTGGAGATCTTCTACTATGCTTTTCAAGTACTGCAGATTTTCAGAACATCAGGGTGTTTGCTAGATCCCGAAAACAGATAGCACAACCAGATAATGGGTGGAAACGAGCCAGAGGCGGTCAAACAAACTTTGTCGTTTTCCCCGCGCTGTCGACGAATTCCCGCGAGTATCGATCGTCAACTTATAGGACACAATTAGAGTTCGGTTGGCTTCCCACTGCAACACACATGAATACACCCTTTGGAGAGGAAAACCATGGGGTTCTGTTGAGAATTTACCTACGGATGATCCTTTCTTGCCATCAGGACGAAATCTCAAGTTGTTTACCGCGGTTTCGAAGGTGCACTTTAGCCATAAAACGCCTTCTGGCTCGCGTTCACACACGGTAAGTCCATATCTATAGACATTTGTATAAACAAAAGCTTTGTTGACGGTCACGGTATCCGAAAGGAGAAGTAGAGAAATCAGTTTCGTTCTGTATGGTCCTCTTCCCACAACGCAGAGCAAAATACAACATGTTAAACATTGAAACGGGCTTTTGTGGAATGACTGAGTTGTGTTCAGCATATGTCAGTCTCGGTGATAGGACACCCAAGGGATGACATCACTTTATTTGGCCATCCAGATCTTCAACAGGCGACAGTATAATTTCAACTGCACAACCAAAATTGACATTCAATTCGGATGTGAGTCTTCCCGCGGGGGCGAGATGACTCCAGAGGTTAGAGCGCAAATTTACTGATCGGAAGTTCCGTGGTTCGAACCTGACCTCTGCCTCTCGACTTCCCCTACCTAAGCTTGG